AAGCAGATGTTTTTATGACTGTTACTTAATGCTTTCATGTAAGGAAGTTACCGATTTATAATTGAAAACAAGGAGAAACAGTTTTATTGTGGTTGGGGAAATGCTCCCTAGAAGAAGGGCCCTCTGCCAGGTGCTAATTACATTCCTCTTGTCTTTTGGCTTCATGCTTCCCATATGAGGGAGAGGGAGACTTGGGGGTGGGGTGAGGGTGGGAGATAATTGAACAAGGTGAAAATGAATGCTCATTAAATTCTGGAATGCAGGAGGACTCATTTCATATGATAGGGCTATAAATATGACTTTTAATGAAGTTATGACATGGTTGCCAATAGAAGTCCTTTACTTTGCAGTATTACAGTTAATTATACACAGCTGGAGCCATTTATGGCCTGTCCCTTGTTACCTTTGCTTTCACTGCATGTTAACCCTTTCAGCACAGATCAACCAGGAAACTGGCCATTTTAAACCTAGAGAAACCGTTAAATAACTGTCCCAAATGACTCAGGATAATTATCACTTGCTGTGGGAGAACACATCCGCCAGCCCCTCCCCTCAGCCTCTCCCTTCCAAGAGCGCACGGAGGAGGAGTGCAGATAGAAAAGGAGAAAAAGTGAGAATTCTGGTTTTCCAATTCTGAAACAAAAATACAATCTACTTAATTTGTGGGAAAATTTATAGGCATAACTATGTTATTATCAGCTTTAGGAGCATTTTGAATACATTTTACTGATAGCAGTGTAACAAAAATACTAGAAGAAAACGATCATGAAAAAAGTGAAACTGACATACTGTCTCTTCAGCAACCTAACGCTGTTGACAAAGAGCCAGTCCCACAGCACGGCTGGAAGAGAGTTCCATGTCTGAAAATCCTGCATCCTGAGCCGGGTGGAAGGAACCCACAGGACAATAGCAGTTACTAAGTTACTGTGCAGTTACTAAGGCCTCCCAGTTGGTTATATCGAAGCCAGAACGCAGCACATCTAAAAGCATGTCCTGTTTCCTGTTTATGCCACGAACAACAGGAAGCTCTTATTTTTTATTTTTTAAAAGGATTTCAACAATAGATGCAGCTATCCATCTTTATTCTGGGTGCCCGGGGGTTCTGAAAGCACAGGTACTGCCTTGTGTTATTCTTTATTATAGGGTAGGAGTAGGGGGATCTTACTCAGGAACCGAAACTGTCATAGGGTTTTAGCTTTGGTGGATGTTAACAGTTTTCTCTCCATGAAGATCCAGCTATTGGAGTCACTGAAACTCGGTACTCTCAGTACAGGTACTTCTCCAGCAGCTTCCTGGAGCCCACTCTTTGTGGCTCCGAGGATGAGTTGCCATGTACAGTAATGGCAGGAGCTTGCCGAGTCTGTTTCTGGATTGTTTCTGGTTCACAGCTATGTGGTTGTCTAGTTTATCTCTGGTTCATGACTGATCTAAATTATTTCTGTCATTAATTAATGGCCATCTGGTTTCTTTCCACCAGTGTTAAGTGCTAAGAGATCGATTCTGGTTGTGTATCTGCAGGATTTCATGAAATTTCCATGGACTCAAGCCTTCCCCTGTTTCTCACGGGACGGTCAAGGGAGCAGCTCTTTTATGAAACCACAAGCCAGTCTCAACTTGGTGGTTGAAAAATTGTCCCATGCCAAATTATACTTCATTGATCTTTTTCTTTGGGAGGAGACAGGGTGGGACATCATAGAAAGAGTCCTCAGGTTGCTTGTCTCCATTTGTCTTTCATGAAAGGGTTGCTAGCACACGAGCCCCATTATATTATTAATTTTGCATTATTTTGCACAATGACTGAATTTTCTGATGCTGTCAGTTTTCTGTGTGTGTATCTGTGAGAAAGCCTCCTGACGGGGGAGAGAATGACAATGAATGATCTGTTTATAATTATAGACACTTTCCATCTGCAGTCAGGTTCTTTTAAGGGGCATCCTTGGACCTTTGTTGATCAGGGGAATCTGTCCAAATCCCAAACTATATGAGTAACCAAGACAAACACACATATCTACTATGAAAGGGCAGGAAGCATATGCAATTACTTAAAGAAACTGAAACAGCCTGGCATGGGTTGGAGAGCAGAGTGGGGGCGTGGCTTTTTATTTCAGTTGGGTAGCTGAGCCCAAAAGAGTGATGGAATGGGGACAAGGATGGAACTGGCAGGGCCTGTTGGGAGCCTGCAGACCTCTCATTAATGAGCATCAAACCTGCTGTGAAGTCGAAGGGCTTCTGTATAATCTGGCCTTTTCTTGCTTTTCCCTCTAAAAGTATCAGGAGTAATACCTTCTGAGGATAAACTCTGAAATCCGAACCTTAGTAACTCGGTCTCCAGACAAGCATCTCTACTGGGGCTCAAACCCAACAAAAGGACTTGTTCCTTGCAGAGAGAGGACACACTAAAAAATTCTCAGCTTTTGTCTAACTTTGATAAGATTCTTTGGATGTGTCATTTGAAATATTTTCTAAGCACAGCTCTGATATTCCTTTGTCTAACTCTGGAGGAGATTAACAAAATAGAGTATATTGAATTTAAAAGAGAGAGGGGAGAAATCAAACTCTTAATGCTTTAAATGCACTGCCTTTTAAGAAAAACCTCTCTACCAGCTCAGGAAAAGTCAAGCTGTGCTGGCAATGGCAGATTGCTAGATAAGAAACAAAGAAATGCAAATGACATCGGCTAGCGACAAATAATCATAAAAATGCACGAATAAAAGATTCTGATACACATCTGACACATGGTAAATAAGAGCAGATTTATTATAAGGTACTAGTTTATGTAATATGCATGTTAATGAAGGTAAATCCCTTGATGGATAAGACGGCTTTGATCATTTTGGTTTAAATTTTAGTAATGTGTCTTCTCAAATTTTGTCACAGTGAGGCAGAAACTATAAATTTAATATTTATATAAGATTGGATTACAAATATTAAATTTACATTTTATAGAAAGCCATTTTATCCTGCACATCTTAAATTTCCAAGGGGTTAGATAGCTCTTCATTGTCTCCATACACTATTTAAGGTTATGAGAATGGTTTATATTTAACTAAGTGAAGTTATAATAATTAATGTCTCTTTAAAGACAGCTTTCTGTGAACTTTGATCATGATGCAAATCGTCTGGGACTGTTTCCTCTGGTTTCGTGGAGTGAAAATGTAAATGTCACCTCTCTGATGAAATATCCGTATCTACATACAACAAACTTGCCCTTTGTCAAGCGCCAATTAAGATGGTGAGTTCAATGTGGTAGGGCAATTCTCTGATCAGGTTAATACAGATTGAAGCTGAAGTTAAAGGCTTTAAATTTGTCACCTCAATATATATTTGTCTAAAGGCATATTGAAGTTATTACACAAAGAAAGTTTATAAATGATCAATCAACTGAAAATTAATCTTGGTATCGCCAGCCTGATATTAACACTAGGTGGTAAAAGTTCTCATTTACATTCTGTGTTATCTGTCGAGAGGAACCTCCTCCCAGTAGATCCTATATTATGCATGTGTCTTTTTGATGAATTTTATCAGGTTTGAGATGTTTAAAATCAATTTTACTGAAGTATAATTGTATTTTAAAAATGGACCCATTTGAAGTATATGTTTGATGAGCTTCGATCAATGTGTACACTTGTATAACCACCACAATCAAAAGGGGGAACATTTCTATCTTCCCCTAAGGTTCCCTGTGCCCCTCTGCAGTAATTCTCCCTACCATGTTGGCTTTTGGTAACTAATTGGCTCTACCACTATAGGTTTGCTTGGTCTCTTTAGAAATGCATACCTTGGATTTATATAGTAAGCAGTGCTTTGTGTCTGACTACTGTTGCCCAGCAGAATGGTTTTGGGATTCATTTGCCTTCTTGAGTGTATCAGTACATATTTTGTTATGTTGCTGAGTAGTGTTCCATTATGGAAATACAGCAATGTATCCACACCCCTGTTGATGGGCACTTAGGCTGTTGACAGTGTGGGGCTATTTTAAATAAAGCGGCTGTGGATGATAATCATATGCAAATATTCTGGTGGACATATATTCTCATTTCTCCAGGAATGGGATTTTGGGTCATAAAGTATCATTTAAGTTGATAAGAAACTGCTAAACTCATTACCAAAATGGTTTGCGAATCATTTTAAAAATAAAAGTTTCTCATTTCCAAAAAAGCTATAGTTCCTTATAGTTGATGCGGTAATTTCTTCTAGATTTACAAAATATTATCTCTCTGAGTAATAAATTAAACACACAGTGATCATTTAGCTCTAGATAAGAATTTCTTATCTGTAGGAATTGATAACATACGACCATTTCTTGAAGTAACAATCATCTTCTACAAAAAACTCTTTTTTTAATATATTGTTTTCCCCCAATTTCGGTCCAAAATGAATAATAAAACCATTCAAGTACCTTTTGCATCTAAACTATCACTTCCTCGAAGACCTCTGGGAGACCCATGTTTTGCTCCCTCATGTCATCAGAGAATGGATGCTCGAAGTAATTAGGCTTGTTTGTAATCATTATATTTTTAATTAGTTCAATGCTATATTGAGAGTTGCCCTATTTTTATCAAGATCAAAATAGGGGAAGAGCTAGAGCTATCTAGTCAAAAAAAAAAAAAAAAAGAAGCTCAAGCTTACCTCGGTGAATACTACACAGGTTTAATGTCTAGGCAGGTGTTAAGTGCCTGGGCATGTATGTTCGCAGAGGGCAGCCTTTATCAACGACCTTGTAACTCTTCCGGCTCCCCTAGGACCTGATCAGGACAACGCTGAGCTGTCCTGATCCTCTGCCCCCAAGGCGCCCCTGCAGGGTTCAGCCATGCTCCAAGTGGGACTTGGGTTGGCATTTCTCCCTTGCTTCGCCTCCTCCTCTTCCTGGTCCCTTTTTCCATCCCCCTGTCCATTTTCCCTAAGAACACTCATAATAGGTCTCTTTCATGCTACTCCTTGCCTCAGGTCTACTTGTGGGTAACCCATCCTAAGACAACTTTGCTTTCTCCCAGCCTTACCTCTGTCTCCTCGGTGTTCACGGCCCCTCCTTTCAAAGCTTCGTTTGCCAAATTCCAGGGTCCAATGTCCGCTTCTCTCTACACAAGGAAGAGGTTCGGCTTCTCTGTGCTCTCCTGTATCTTCAAAGTCGGGCATCGCAGGCTTCATCGAGCTGGGTGCTCCTGGAAGGGCTCGTCTGCCCCGGTTTTGCCAGTTTCGATGATACAGAACAGGCTCTGGAATGAGCTGTGGGCAAGGAGGATCCATGCCTGGGGTTGGAGCAGATCGAGAACAAAAATCACCCGAGGCTCCTGAAAGGTGAGCACAGCTTAGCACAGCCTTCGTTCTCTTCTTCTTCTCCCACTCCTCTCCCTCCAACCCTCCTCCACCCCTCCTCCCCCTCTTTCTTCTTCTTCTTCCTTCTTTAAAAAAATTTTTGTTAACCAAGAAAGCACAGTCTAGTTTTATATGAGAAAAAGATTCCTTTTTTTTAACATGCATTTAATCTTGCTCCTAGGAAGGAACAACCAAAAACATGGCATTATGGACCTAAGAATCCCATAACTTTTACCAAAGTTGGGCTCATACGACATGAATCACCAATTTATTGCAATGGCTCTATCTTACCAACGGTGCCACTGCCTGTGACATTCCTTCTGATGCCCAGACCTTCCTGCAAGAGGAGATCCGGGCATGTGTGCAACCAATGCCAAGTACCCTGAATGTAAGAAGGAGACATGGACCACACGACCCAGTATGAGCATGACTGGTAGGTACGTTGAGTTTCCTCATAGTTAAAAAGTAGGCGTCCTCTCTGTGACACCATATTGAAAACATGGAAAACCTTAGTGTATGAATTACTTCACAGTATATTGAAAGGCATACAAAGACACATGTTAGATAGTACGGCATCCTAAGAAGAGCTTGAAGGTTTATTTTTGTTGATTTTTAATATATTTTTCATATTTAAAATTTTATTTATTTTATCAAATATAGTTACAATGTTGTGTTAGTTTCAGGTATACAGAAAAGTGATTCAGATATGTGTGTATAGATATGTGTATATATATAATATTATTTTCCATTATAATTTATTATAAGATATTGAATATGGCTCCCTATGCTATACACTAGGTTCTTGTTGTTTATCTATGTTACATATACTAGTTTGTATCTCTGAATCCCAAACTCCTAATACATCCCTCCCCTCCTTTGGTAACCATTAGTTTGTTTCCTATGTTTGCAACTCGATTTTTGGTTGTTTTTTGTTTCATTTTGTTTTGTTTTTGAGGATAGAAGAGAACAGCTTTATTGCTTTGCCAGGCAAATCACAGCAAGCTAATGCCTTAAAGACTGTGAGCCCCTATTTCTGTTGTGTAAGTTCATTTGTGTCATTTTTTTAGATTCCCCATATAAGTGATATTTGTCTTTCTCTGTCTGACTTACTTCACTTAGCATGATCATCTCTAGGTCCATTAAAATTTTACTTTTGATTCTGAAATATTCAGTCCTCTAAGCAAAAGGGTGGAGGACCATCAGTCTGAATACCAATTCTCATGGCATAAAAGCCATGATGTGGGTCCGCCAGCACGAGAGATTGGGTTGGAGCAGTATTGGCCCTAAGATTTAATCTGTAGATTATAAAGTTTGCTTGTTTAGTCCCATCCTTGAATGTGCTTTTATTTTACTATCATAAGCCTCTTACCCACTCCCAATATTGTTCATAATAGTTCATATTAAGACAGTCTGGTTAAGATTTTACTGTATTTTCAGAATTAGAATATACCATCTGCCCTTGAAGCCAGTAAGACTGGGACTGTTAGCTCGAAAACTGATTTCCCCTAGATCTTCAACTCCACATCCATAATTTGGGAGAGACAGTCATTACTGAGCCCAATTTTTACAAATTAATCTCTCAGCCTCCACAGACTTGGCCAAAGGGCACAATTCTGGCTCAAGGGATGTAAGCAGAAAGCATCAGATACGCCACAGCTGACAGCTGCTCCTCACCCTTCCTCTCTTCATGCCTGGAAGCCGACACAAGTTTGGAGCACCCATCAAGCAGCCATAAAGTGACCACAAGGAAAAAGGTCAGTAAGATTTGACGGACCTCAAGCCCATTATGATTTGTTGATCTAGTACTTGCCAGCAAACGCTCCCCACTTTGATTTCATGGGAAAAATAAAACCCTTAGTTTGTTTAAGCCGACTTTGTTTTGTGTCTGATTCTTGTTATTCACCATTGAACATACGTCTCTTGTTGGTAACAGCCAGTGGGTATTTGTCTAAGCTTTGACCTGGGAACCCAGCTTTGTTTTAATTGGGTTGTTATGGGAAGGAAGGAAAGGAACGTAAAGATGAAGCCGTAGAGAGGCAAGAATGTGTTAAGAGACCTTTCATCCTACTACACATTGGCCTTCCATCCAGCATTTTCCTTCATCTCTAATTTCCCCCCAGGTGGCTGATGCCAAGCACCTATACACGAGGTCCATCCATCTTACCTCTCCTGCTCGCTTCTGCGTACGTCCGTGGACTTAGCTCCTTAAGGTGCAATCTGGCGTCTGGCAGTTGGGCCGATACCTGTGCCCCCAAGCATCAGACAAGGACACATCTTTCCAACAGTTGTTGATAATGGGCCCAATGGAAAGGCTACTGGGTTCAAGTTCTGTGCGGGTTCATCCTGGGGCAGAGCTGCAGTAAATCATCGCAGGACTACAGGACTCTGCGGAAGAGCCCCGTCCCTCTACGCGGGGAGGTGGATCCGCCGTCTGCTCTGAGGAGCTTGGGTTAGTCCATCTGTTTCTGGTTTTCAGAAACCTGAGGTGAAGAAAATAAATAACAGGAAAAACAAAAATGAAAAATGCCCCTGTTTCCTGAATTGCAGGAAGCCTGCCTGGGCTCCTAAATCACGCATTCCATCCAGATGCACCAAACCCGGCTGGATTTCCTGGGCAGAAAGAGGAAAGAAGTATCCAGATTGTGCTTTTGAGGAGTTTTCAATCTTTAGAAATATAGCCCATTATTACAGAAAAAAAGTTGACATTTCTCATTATTTTGGTAAAGAAATAAAAGCACTCAAAGTATGAAACCATATTCTCCCCATCACCGGCTTTTTAAAGGTGATTTCACGAGTTTTTAACTGAGGCCTATGTGAGCCCCCATGTCTCATAAGCAAGAAGATACAGACAAGGAATCAGAGATGTTTACCCAGAAAGGACATCATCACAGCCGTGGCCTGAGCTCCAGAGAGCAAAATTCAGACCAACAGGAAGAAGTTACAAGGAAGGAGAATCCAGAGCTTTGAGAACATTATGGTCAATGATCTGTCAAGTTTTAAGTGAATGATCTTGCATGGCAGTGGGGATCCATAAGTGTTGGAGATCAGATCAGAAACAGAGGACAATAACCAGGGGTTGACGCATAGAGGATGCTTGAGACTGAAAAAAGGAGACTGCTTTGTCCATTTGCTCTACAATTCACTGCAATTTTTAAATTCTTAGATCTCTCTGAAACTCGTACTGGTCTGCAGTTATGGTTTATCCAGAGGATGCTATCTGTTTTTACAGTTATTTTCTACCAAAAGCCAAGGCTAAGGCAGACTTTTTTTTTTTTTTGGCTTCTCCCTTTCCTGGTGGGAAGTTTTTTGTTTGTTTTTTATGCCTGCCCTTTCACCAAAGTCCTTAACCTTAATCACATCTGTATAGTCGGTTTTTCCATGGAGGGTACCATATTCTCACAGTCCTCAGATCAGGATGCAGACATCTGAGGAGGGGTGGGTACAATATTCCGCCAACCACAGATTCTCGAATCACACCGTCACTCAGTCCAAAAGCTGGTGTTGGTTGTTTTGGAAATTAGGCTGTCCACTCCCATAGACAAACCAACCATTCAACCCATCCCGAGAGAGGACTTCTGTCCTCCTCCCCCACCTAGGACCAGGAAAGGGAGGTAAGGACAGAATGTTCCCTCTTTCTCACTCACCTCCTCTCACACCCAGCAGAGGTGGAAAGCCTTTTAGACGTTCTTGGCAGCAATAAGGCTTCATTGACTGCAAAGACTCACATCAAGTTCTCTGAAAGATTTGGATCAAAGCCTTCTCCAGTGAATGAAGGGGAGGGGAGGGACCTTCTGAACACCGGAGATGGGAGCAAAGTGGGTAATAATTAACCACCGCCTGTCTCCAAATATCCTCTTCCCCACACCTCTCGTCTGTTGACCCTTCCTATACCTGCACGTTGGTAGACTTTCCATCACTGAGCTGTCCTCTGCCATCCACAGTTTTCTAGTTCTACAGTGCGCTGTGTCTCACAGTTCACTCTGATACCCGACAGTTTCACCTAAGAATCTCAAATGAAACAGCCATGTAGAAAATCAGAGAAGTTTGTAGAGAAGGAAGCAATGGTACTAGGAGATATCGGTCTCAGGAAATTCCAGGTCACTCAAGTATAATAAGGCTCTGAATCCTTTGATGACTATCTCTTGATCAACATGAATGGTTTCGCTTGTCTGAAGTTCCATTCCTTCTCCCTTCGTTAACTGCTGCTTACGCATCTAAATTAAATTTTCACTTGTGTTTTTACTGCTCCAGCCAGCTGTGTCTGTTTTATCCAAGAAAACGTTTTCTTTGAGAACAAACGGACAGAAGTCCCAAAGCCCCCGTTACCGGGAAGGACAGAGGACCCCTGGGTGCCGGAGGCACCGAGTTTGCCTGTTCAGGACAGCCTCGAGGACTGGTCCTGTTTCCCCGGAGCCTGCTGACACGGGGACGTTTATAGCGGCAGTAAAGAGCCTGAAACCACCACAGAGTCCCCTAGCACTTCTCCTAATTAACTTTTAACCTGCTGGCCACGGGTTTTTTTTTTTTTTCCTCCTTTAATTGCTAATGATGTCCAGAATCTCCTTTCTCCTTTCTCTAGTCTGGAATCTCTAGTCTCCCTAATAATGACAGCTTTCTAGTCATTAATTATGAGCCCTGTATTTTCCTTCCTTGTGTGGACTTTATAAGGTGCACCACAGTGGGAACTCAGCTTTTTTTTTCCCTCTTTAAGTTGAACTCTTAATTTTGTTTCAGATTTCGTCTTCTTGTCTGTGCAGGATCAACAGAAACATAGGATAAATGACCACGAGATGGTAACATGGGTAAGTGAATTTGGGCTTGTGGAGAAAACTGAAGGAGAAGTCTGAGGATGTAATAACGTCTCATTTTCCAGAGAAATATTAGTCTTTCTCTCCCTTATTGAGTGAAAAATTTTGGTCTGCGCTTGGAGGAGAGAAAGTCCAATGAAGTGAAAGAATCAGAATAATAATGTGTTCAAATTAGCAGAGGACAGGTAGTAGCTATTTGAATTAATCACTTATGCATTCACATGTTCATCTATT